GGGGTTATATAGGAGGCGAGTTGACAAGGTAGTGAGATCTAAACAAGGTGGATTAAACAAGTGTATTATAAGGTCTAAGGAGCTTAATAGAGCTCTAAGCTGACTATATACTGTACAAGATAGGAGCTATGCCTAATAAGTAAAGAGTGCAGTACATGGGTATGATATCGCGTGAGACACGTGCGACACTAACTACAGGATATAGAGCACAAAGGGGTAGGCAACCGCATGCTGCAAGAGCTAGGGTGGGTGGTAGTAGTGCGTGGAAACTAAGATAGTCTACAAAATAGTGAATTATCCCTCTGCAGTGTAGAAGACTTACTGCAGATGCGTAATAAGTTAATGTCTCTTTAGAAAACTCTAGCAGGGTTAATTAGAATAATATTCTATAGTTATAATAGCATATAAGTTAAGCGTTGCTTAGGTATTATTAAAGAGAGCTAATAGTAAGATCTATAAAATAATTAGCGTAGCCACAGTGTAAACCTATAGGCAGGAGATAGCTAAAGGGAAGAGAAGAAGGAGGGGGAGGGAGAGGGGGTAGAAGGAAGAGAAGGTGGGGGTTTTAGTATAAGTACTAGTATGTATTGCTAAACCCCCTTACTTTGTCTGCTTCTTAACATGTATATACGCAGTAGCACACGTGACAGGTAAATTCACTGTTATAAAGCATAGGTTATAATGTAAAATGTGCTAAACTTTATACAGGATACTCTTTTAAAGTTAACGTAAAACAATTATTATATTTTTAGCTAGGGGGTTTATTTATTATCCTAACATGTAGCTAAACAGCTTAGCATGGGTCTAGCTAACGTGTAGGATAAGGAGATAGCTAGGGGGTAGAGGGGGCGTTTCAGTATAGGTACCTACTTGCCACCGCTAATGCACTGACCACATATAGGCTTGGCACGCGCGCTAGCTATAAACAACTATTTGCGACCTTATGAGCTCTTTTTACCTCTACAATCCACTACTCTCCGCTCCAGCAGCAGAAGCAGCAGCAGCGACAACAACGACGACAATAAGGACAGTGTAATTTTAGCAAATTTAAATAATTTTAACTAAAAGAGCAATTATAAGTTATTTGCAGGCCAGCGCTAACTAGCGCAGTGTACTAAAGTTCTAATTAGCTAAATCTAGCAAGTTTAGCGTTTTCTCTAAGTCCCTTTAAGGCGGTACCTATCCCAAAAGCCCCCCCCCCCCCTCCCCTCCTCTCCATATCCTCCACCCCTATTTGCCACCCACTATAGTGGAAATGACCCATTGCACTCTAACAAACCTGCCTAGGAACTAGCCAGAAACAGCTAAGTCTAATATTTAGGCTAGGTCCCTAAGATTTAGTAAGTGTTTTCTATATTTACTAGACTTTTTATTGCAGTATGCCTAAGCTAGAGCTAATAGAGGGGAAAGAGAAGGTTTAGCTTTATGTACTAGTACCTAAGGCTAAACTCTCTTCCCCTTTAGTACTTATCTCTGTCTCCCCTCTAATTAGTGCTTATACCTAACTCTTTACTCTAGTACATATCCTGCATATTTTATAATATTATTAAGTTCCCTAGTAAACTTATACCTGTTTAGGTTTAAGCTTAGCTAACATTATAACAAGGTTATAGATCTAAGTGCATCTTCTAGCTATAGTTAGGCAGAGCCTAGGGAGCAGCGTAGTTAGATCTAAACCTGCAGCCTTTTGCTATATCTAGACACTAATTCTATATCCTAGTTAGCTTCCCTAATTTGCTATTTCTCTAAGCTTTAAGATTACTATAGGGTTAAACTAGATTCTGCTATAAACGCATTCTTTAAGAATAAACAGCTAGAGGAGTAAGCCTAGGCTAAAGCTATTAAAAAGTCTATTACTAATAAGCTTGCTAAATTAGACTAAAACTTAAAGGACATTAAAGTAGTTAGGCAGGACACTAAGACTAGCAAAATTATTCTATATGCAGCTATACAAAGTATTACATAGTTAGCTCTATATTTTAATGCAACCTAGGGCGAGCTTTTAGACATAATTAAGAGTAATTATAAATTCTGCAAGGCAACTAGTTAACTCTAGCGCGCCTATTTTTTCTGCTTTAGCAATGCTAAAGGACTTAACCTATAGACAGTTTTTAACACTATTACAGATAACTAACGCTAGAGGACTTATTATTTTAAAGGTATGCTAATAAAGTTCTATAATTTTAAAATGCTGTTAAAAGTTAAGATGTATGCTTTTATGCTAAGAGTAGTTATGTTTAACCTTTTTAAATAAGCTAACAGGCCCTATCCGATATATGGCCACGGATCGCTGGCTTTCCGTAACCCTAACTTCCTTATTCCGTTTAGCGCGTCGGCTAAGCGAGCAGCGAACGACTGGAATCCGTCAAACAGAACCCCTGGAATCCGTCCCCCATCCTGTGCCTAGATCCTATTATAATAGTAGGCAAACTTTTAGGCTTTAACTTAAACTTGCCCCTGCCAGTGTTTTTTTTGCGAAAATGTACAGATGTGGTGGTGTTTTGCCGCAACCCTAACTGCGCGGTGGATTTTGATTTTCCTGCGCGCGCAGGCATCGCGCGCGCATTGCCGCACCAGCTACCAGCGCCCCGCCCGCAGACCACCACCTAACCCAGCGACCACAACAACAACTATGACCGACAACACAGCTCTCTACTTCCTAGCTGTGCTCATGGCATTAATTCTCTAGCGCAGCGACAGCGCTGTTAATTTTATTATTCCTTTTGCTACAAAACGCGCACAGGCTCTGCAGTTCGCGCCCTAGCGACAAGCCTGCGCCCGCAGACCGCGACAATAAAACTACAACAACCACAACAATCACTAACATAATAGGTTTCTCCACCTTCTAGCTGTGCCTGGGACATTAATACCTTAGCCTAGCGACTGCGCAGTAGATTTTGATTTTCCTTTGCAGCGACGCGCGCACAGACTCTGCAGTTCGCACAGCAGCTACCAGCCCCGGCTGTCGACCACGACTTCAACTACCACCACCGCAACAGGTTTCCCCACTTCCTAGCTCTGCTTAGGGCATCAACGCTTTAGCCTAGCGACTGTTGATTGTAAGTTTTCCTTTGCGGGGATGCGCGCACTGGCTCTGCCATTGGCACAGCAGCTACCAGCCCTGACTGTCGACCACGACTTCAACTACCACCATCACCGTAACTACGACTACCACCACCACCACCACCAACGCAACAGGTTTCCCTACTTCCTAGCTCTGCTTAGTGCATCAACGCTCTAGCCTAGCCACTGTGCATTTGATTGTAAGTTTTCCTTTGCGGGATGCGCGCACTGGCTCTGCCATTGGCACAGCAGCTACCAGCCCCGACTGTCGACCACGACTTCAACTACCATCACCGCAACTACGACTACCACCACCACCACTACCACCACCAA